TCTTGTACTGTTTATTCAGCTCGCTTAAGGTCTTGCTCTGTGTCGTAGCTTTTTATAAAGCATTAGCAGCATAAAGCAGCATTACTGATGAGACATTTTGAATTTTTCGCAGTATGAACTGAAATGTTCCCTTGATAGCTTTTCTGATTTTTTTTGTCTTCTTTTTTGACATTGATCGAGAGTCTTCGAGCAAATCCTCAAGTAGCGACTATTGGCAAGCATTTGAAACTGCGAGTACTGCACAGTAGTCAACTAGAAAGGTCTTTTCTTTCTCAACCTCTTTTTTCATGAAATGATTTTAGCAAAGACCATAGGTTTCTAAGAATCGTAATGAATTGATAATAAAGGGACTTCAATTGATAGAAAGAAATGTCCAATCCTTATAATGTTACTAGTATTGTCATGGTCATTTTTCCTGCTCAGCATATTTTCTGTCTCCCGAGCAACTATGGATTCGTTTCCGGTTCCGCACAGTCATCCATCGAAGAACTTCTACAGCTCGAAAAGATGAACCGCATGGCGTAGGTGAACAGATATTGCATTGTGAAAATTTCAGGGGGGCTCCCATTGTTTTGAACTCTCATTACACTTTTTTGAAGCTGCAGAAACCAATGTCGATTGATCGCATGCAGATGACATGTGAGACGTATACTCCTGAATATTACGATCTCCCAAAAACAAACGACTTTCCACGAAAGGTAGTGGAGGTTCACTCAAACGTCTCATCAATTTTCCAATTGTTCATTCCTAAGTAACACTAATTCTGGATCCTGGTCTAGCCTTTTGCCTTCCTCTGCCTAATCGTTGGTCTGTTGGAAGTTATGATCGACACGAAGTTCATATCGAAGAGGGTATGAGTTCAACGTTGACATCAGCAACACCGCAACAGCAGAAACCTTGTGGGAATTTTGCCACTGACACAGGTACCGTCATAATCTACATTGTTGTGCATTCAATCAAAAAAATGGCAGGTGTACAGTAGCTTTACTAGTCGTTAGTTATCACAAATACTTTATTTATTATTGTGCAGCAGTTGCGACCTAGATATTCGTTCTCGAGTAAAATTGCCTAAGAAACTGTACACAGACGATGCAACACCAGATTAATGGCTAGCACTAACACTGAAAAGCATCCTAACACAATGCGACTGCATCAATTTTTTCATTAGCGATAGCCGATCGTGAAGAAGGGACCAAATGTGTTGTTAAATGGGTACGTGTAAAGAAGTCGTTTATCAGCACAACCTTATATACATATACATATATGTTTGTACATACACTCATACAGAATTAGTGAGTTGAGTGACTTGAAATAATGAAACGGTTTTAGACGAAAATAATTAGAACCGCTTGTTCTAATATGACCTAGTCCGACCTCATAAGACGGATGTCTCTTGTTTCAGTTCTCGTTCTTTTTCTAGTCGTATCAAAGGTAAATACAACAAATATAATATGGAAAATCAGCGAAATGGCAGAAACTGCAGTTAATGTAGGAGCTCCGTTTATATACTGAAAAACCGGGTCGAAGATAGTGGCCCAAGAATGGGAAGTAATCCCCAATCGAAACTACATGAAAAGCATTGCACACAAAGTCATGATAATTCAGCTCGACGTTTGCTACCCGTATTCCAAGTGCTGCCTTCATTAACTATTCCTTAAAACTTGTATACAAGCATTTCTTTCCGAGCCACCATGATCTCTAAATGTTCACCCGTTTGCACCCCGCGATTAAGCATGGCCACAGAAGTAAAAAACAAGTTTAAGAAATATCATGTAATGCAGAAAAAGCGCTTTCGCATGGTAATTCCGAATAAAGCACCGGCAGAAGGCAAAAGCTGCTCTCATGAGAATGCAATCATGAACTCATCTTGATAGTGCCTGTCTTACATCCCTGACGTGTAGAAAGAGTCGAATATATGCATACAATTCGATGGCAAGTATCAGAGCAGCTACACCGAGGACGACCCTGAAATCACTAACTTGACACTACTGGCCGTAGACAATTTGTCAATCGTGAAAGGTATCTCTGTACGCAGTGCTCCTCGTCCTTGTGCCCCTCTCCCAGTAAACGCTTTGTGTGTGTGTGTGTGTGTGTGTGTGTGTGTGTGTGT